AGTGTTGGAGAACAAGGGTGTCACTCTGAGGACTAACGTGTGCACGATAAAGCACTGGTATTTTCCATCACTTCATATGCATGTGAACCCTGGATAATGAATAAGGAAGACCACAGAAGCTTTGCTGCATTTTAATCATGGTATTTGTGAAGACTGTTGAACGTACCATAGGCTGCTAGAAGAACAAACCAATTTGTCTCGGAAGTAGTACAGCCCGAATGCTCCCTAGAAGCAGGTTTTGTTCTGTTGTACACAGTGTGGCTATGAATTGGAACCCACTGGGCCAGCACTTAACAACACCAAATCATATGGTGCAAATTACAAAGTCTGTAATTCCAGACTGTAGGCTCCCCAAGTGAGGAAACGTGTATGTTCTACCATCTTCTTCATGTTACTCAGGAGAGACCAATCCCTGGAAAAGGACAGCATATTGGAACAAGTCGAAGGGCAGCATTACAGAGACACCCCCATCAAGATGGATGGATACAGTTGTTGCAAAAATAGGCTTCAACATAAGACAACTTGAAGATGGCAGGGGACCTTTCAGTGTTCACTCTGCTGTACACAGAGCCACTGTGAGTCAGAAGCAGCGTCATGGCACCCGATGACAACAGCAAGCGCATTCCCACGTGGATATCTGAGAGCAAAATCCCACATAAAAATCCTGTGTACACAGGTCGTCACTTAGGCCAAAACCCTGAAAACAGTTTTCCTTCTGTCTCCATTTCTGCTTTCTTTCCCTTATTTTCTATGACCTGTTACTAATGCTGTACACTCTTAATGCATGCATTTTTATTGATTTCTCTTTATCTACATACTCAGTTTACAGAAGTATCAAGCATTTGAATGGCTTTCTATTTTTTTCCTTTATAAATCTTGTTATTCAGCGATTCCCACTCTCATTCGCTGCTTCCTTAGCTGGCTGGTCTGATCTGGTGAGGGGTGAGCTAATATAAGCCCCTCGCCAGTCGGGGTCCAGTTCACTCCTGTTCATGGTGACCTCAAGTTTGTTTTTGTGGAGCCATGCTCCGTCACGTTTTTAATGACTCATTTTTTGTAAGTAAACCAGCAAGGATTTCTCACGAGAGACCTCCAGACCAGCGGTTCTCAACCTGTGGGTCACGGCACCTTTGGGGGTCAGACGACCCTTTCACAGGGGTCGTCTGATTCATAACAGTAGCAAAATGATAGTGATGAAGTAGCAACGAAAATAGTTGTGTGGTTGGGGGTCACCACCACACGAGCAACTGTATGAAAGGGTCGCGGCCTGAGGAAGGTGAAGAACCACTGCTCTAGACAGACTCAAACCTCCAACCTTTCAGTGAGCAGCTGAACGTTCACTGGACTCCAGCTCATGAACCGAGCTTACATTATTGGTATCTGTACAATTGGTGCAATAAAGAAATCAGTAGCAAATTTACTCAGTGCATTTTTTGCACTGGTTTGGTTTAATCAGGTTATTCTAAACAATTGAGTCTTTTTCTAAAGGAGTGAAATAATTAAATTATATTGAAATGAATTTAAATTGAAATTACCAGAGGAGCACATTCTTTCAAAAAGAGATTGTCATGTGACAATCAGCAATATTTTCTTTTTAAATCACTTTAGCGGTAATGTGTAGGTGGACTTAAAAGTTCCAACGCTGTATGAACTCCATGAGGAGTTTTCCAATCCAAGTTTTAATCATCGTCTGTTCTCCCCTAACCAGTATCTCATCAAATTGTAGGTGTGCAGTAAAGGATGGATGAATGGATATTGACTGTAGATGTTTCTGTTAAAATATCACTCACACACACACACACACACACACACACACACACACACACACGGCACACAAATTCCTAGCTGTTCTGCAAAATCATGCTCTAAATGAAGTTTGTTATTTCCATAAAAAAGTAGTGAGGAAGAAATATAATCTACCGAGGAGATGAGTGGATTTATTCTCCAGAATGTATGTTTATGCATATTTAAATTTTGCTGCTCTCTGATGCCTTGCTGTGAAGAGAATTTGATGGTCCTGCAGGAACACACTGTGGGGTGGGGGTGGGGGGACAGGGGGATAGAAAGACAGAATGGATTTTATTGTGGAGTTTAGATAGTGGTGTCGCACCCTTGAAAACCAAATGCTATGCTTCAGACAAGAGTTTGGGGGATTCTGAGACCAATTTGCTTTACATTTGTTGTAGTTTTTGTGTTTTTCTTTATTTTTTTTATAACAGCTTCATGGAGACAACTCGCACAGCACATAATTCAGCATTTTTAAGAGAACAATTCAGAGTGGTTTTAGTGTATCACAAAGTGGTGTAACCAAAGTTTATTTTCTGTGGTGGCTTGTGTGTCGCTGTGATGCTGGAAGCTACGTCACTGGTATTTCAAATCCCAGCAGGGTCACCCGAAGTGAACAGGAGCTTCCAGACTGAGCAGAGACAAGGAAAAAGGAATAGGCTGTCCACTTCCACTTCAGTAGCGTTATCTATGGAAAACCGCAGGAATAGAAGGAAAATAGCATTTCCACCTGCTGAGAATGGCATGACCAGCGGCAGACTATCGTCAGACAAAGTGCCTGAGAATGAGCCCCTCTGGTGGGAAGGCAGTGAAAACATGACTGAACGAGAGCTGAGAGGACCACAATGTCGTGGGTGGAGTACAGCCTTCTGAAATGCAGTCTTCGGGACTTCCTTTGCTGGTGGGCACGACGCAAAATGCGAA